TACCTTATGTTATTAAGCCCAATTAGCTCTAACATACTTCCAGCTATAGATTCAATCTTGTATTAATCGTAAAAAATCCATAAAATGTGCAATGTATGAGAAGCCAAACCATTGTTATTGATTGTTTGTTATTCTGCTAGCACTAGCTGTTGTGGCTGTGCGAATTTTGTCTGTTATCTAATGCACGACCAAAATAAAGAATTTTAAAAAAAAAGCTCTGCATGTCCTCCATCAACAACACGTCTGTAAAGCGTCCTGTCCTTGCCGGCGTGGTCGTGGGAGGAGGAGGATTACTTTCACCTCTCCCCCTGTTAGATTCCCGTTGTGCTGTGACATCACCCTTATACGCTGTGTAAAGCATACTTTTTAATTGATTTTGGAAATGCTGCATCCTTTCCGACTTGCCGTAATTCGGTAACATTTCAGGCACTTTCTGCTTATACCGGGGGTCTAGTACCGTGGACACCCAGTACAGGTCGTTCTCCTTCAGCCTTTTTATACGAGGGTCCCTCAACGGCACGACAGCATGAAAGACCCCATTTGCACAAGGTTGGATGCCGAGCTACTCATGTCCTGTTCCTCGTCCTCAGTGATCTCACTGAAGGTATGTTCTTCCCCCCAGCCACGTACAACACCACGGGTACCAGATAGGTGACAACGAGCACCCTGGGATGCCTGTTGTGGTTGGTCTTCCTCCTCCTCCTCAAAGCCACATTCCTCCTCTGACTCCTCTTCCTCACAATCCTCTTCCAGCATTGCCGCAGGTCCAGCAAGCGATGCTGATAAGGCTGGTTCTGGTGGTGATGGTGACCACAACTCTTCCTCTTCACGCTCATCTACGGCCTGATCCAGCACTCTTCGCAGGGCACGCTCCAGGAAGAAAACAAATGGTATGATGTCGCTGATGGTGCCTTCGGTGCGACTGACTAGGTTTGTCACCTCCTCAAAAGGACGCATGAGCCTACAGGCATTGCGCATGAGCGTCCAGTAACGTGGCAAAAAAATTCCCAGCTCCCCAGAGGCTGTCCTAGCACCCCGGTCATACAAATACTCGTTAACGGCTTTTTCTTGTTGGAGCAGGCGGTCGAACATTAGGAGTGTTGAATTCCAACATGTCGGGCTGTCGCAAATCAAGCGCCTCACTGGCATGTTTTTTCGCCGCTGGATATCTGAAAAGTGCGCCATGGCCGTGTAGGAACGCCTGAAATGGCCACACACCTTCCTGGCCTGCTTCAGGACGTCCTGTAAGCCTGGGTACTTATGCACAAAGCGTTGTACGATCAGATTACACACATGTGCCATGCACGGCACATGTGTCAACTTGCCCAAATGCAATGCTGCCAACAAATTTCTTCCGTTGTCACAAACCACTTTGCCGATCTCCAGTTGGTGCGGAGTCAGCCACTGATCCACCTGTGCATTCAGGGCAGACAGGAGTGCTGGTCCGGTGTGACTCTCTGCTTTCAGGCAAGTCAACCCCAAGAGGGCGTGACACTGCCGTATCCGGGATGTGGAATAGTACCTGGGGAGCTGGGGGGGTGCCGTTGATGTGGAGCAAGACGCAGCAGCAGAAGAGGACTCAGCCGAGGAGGTTATGGAAGAGGATGGAGTAGGAGGAGTAGAGGAGGTGGCAGCAGGCCTGCCTGCAAGTCGTGGCGGTGTCACCAACTCCTCTGCAGAGCCACGCATTCCATGCTTGGCAGCCGTCAGCAGGTTTACCCAATGTGCAGTGTAGGTGATATACCTGCCCTGACCATGCTTTGCAGACCAGGTATCAGTGGTCAGATGGACCCTTGCCCCAACACTGTGTGCCAGACATGCCATTACTTCCTTTTGCACAATCGAGTACAGGTTGGGGATTGCCTTTTGTGCAAAGAAATTTCGGCCGGGTACCTTCCACTGCGGTGTCCCAATAGCTACAAATTTTTTGAACGCCTCAGACTCCACCAGCTTGTATGGTAAAAGCTGGCGGGCTAAGAGTTCAGTCAAGCCAGCTGTCAGACGCCGGGCAAGGGGGTGACTTTGTGACATTGGCTTCTTACGCTCAAACATGTCCTTGACAGACACCTGACTGTGGGCAGATGAGCAGGAACTGCTCAAGGCGAGAGACGGAGGGGCGGATGGTTGAGAGGGGGCAAGGAGGACAGCAGTGGTTAACGTGGCTGAAGATGCTGGACCAGGAGGAGGATGGCGGCTTTGAGTTTGTGTGCTGCTTGTACTCATGTGTTGATCCCATAGGCGTTTGTGATGTGCGATCATGTGCCTACGCAAAGCAGTTGTACCTAGGTAGGTGTTGGACTTCCCACGACTCAGTTTCTTTTGGCACAGGTTGCAAATGGCATCGCTGTTGTCAGAGGCAGACACACAAAAAAAATGCCACACTGCTGAGCTCTGCAATGACGGCATTCTGGTGGTGGCAACAGCATGCGTTGATTGGCGTGCTGTCTGGCTGACCCCGGGTGCCGATGCATGCTGTCTGACTGTGCCACTAGCTCCTTGCGACGACCTCCCCCTGCTTCCAACTCGTCTCCTCCTCCTCCTCTCTGTCTCCCCATCTGAACTTTCCCCCTGTTCTTCTTCTCTTCTAGCGGGCACCCACGTGACATCCACGGACGCATCGTCATCATCAACCGCTTCACTTGTATCTGACAACTCAGCAAAGGAAGCAGCAGCGGGTACAACATCATCATCATCACACCGTACGTCCATGTGTGTAATGCTGCCTGACTGAGACATATCCCTGTTATCTACATCCTCTGGCAATAATGGTTGCGCATCACTCATTTCTTCCAACTGATGTGTAAATAACTCCTCTGACATACCAAGTGAAGCTGCTGTGGTGCTAGCATTGGTGGTGGCAGCAGGCGGGCGAGTGGTAACTTGAGAGTTGCCCGAAGCTAAGCTGGAGGAGGATGGTGCGTCAAGGTTCCGAGCGGAAGCTGTAGAAGATTGGGTGTTCTGTGTTAGCCAGTCAACTATGTCCTCAGAACTTTTCGAGTTCAGGGTACATGGCCTCTGAACACTGGGCATTATTCTAGGGCCAAAGGGAATCACAGCACCATGACCATGACGGCCCCTGCGGGGTGGCCTGCCTCTGCCTGTCATTTTTTTTTCCGATTAGTGGTACTATGCGTGCAAGCTACTGTGACAACAGATATGAGTGGCACTGTGCAGTGGCAGAAGTTGGCAGAGTAGACGCTGTAGGCCTGACACACACGCTTGCAGACAACTAACTGCTATTCAATCTATTACAGTCAAAAAATGTTTTATTTTTTTTAAATGTACACTACTGTTACACCAGATATGAGTTGCACTGGTGTGACACTGTGCCCTGGCAGGCCCTGAAACGCACACGTGTGAAGGAAACTGACTGCTATTATATTACAGTCCAAAAAGTTTTTTTTTTGTTAAATGCAAGCTATTGTGACACCGGATATGAGTGGTGGCACTGGGCAAGTGGGCACAGTATACGCTGTGAGCCTGACACACACGCTGGCAGACAACTAACTGCTATTCAATCTATTACAGTCAAAATTGTATTTTTTTTTTTTAAATGTACACTACTGTTACACCAGATATGAGTTGCACTGGTGTGACACTGTGCCCTGGCAGGCCCTGAAACGCACACGCGTGAAGGAAACTGACTGCTATTATATTACAGTCCAAAAAAGTTTTTGTTTTTTTTAAATGCAAGCTATTGGGACACCAGTGAGTGAGTGGTGGCACTGGGCAAGCCCTGAAACGCACACTCGTGAAGGAAACTGACTGCTATTATATTACAGTCAAAAAAGTTTTTTGTTTTTTTAAATGCAAGCTTTTGTGACACAAGTGAGTGAGTGGTGGCACTGGGCAGGCCCTGAAACGCACACTAGTGAAGAAAACTGACTGCTATTATATTACAGTCGAAAAAGGTTTGTTTTTTTTTAAATGCAAGCTATTGTGACAGCGGTGAGTGAGTGGTGGCACTGGGCAAGTGGGCACAGTATATGCTGTGAGCCTGACACACAGGCTGGCAGGCAGGCAGGCAACTGCAATTACATTACACAGAAAAAAAAAAGCAGACTGATGTTCTAGCCCTAAAAAGGGCTTTTTGGGGTGCTGTCCTTACAGCAGAGATCAGATGAGTCCTTCAGAACTGTAGTGGACACTGAATGCACTAGCATAGCTATCAATTTCCCTATCAAATCAGCAGCAGCTACACTGTCCCTACTCTCACTAAGAATGCAGCTTCACAATGAATGTAAACTGGATGCTGTCCAGGAGGTGGGAGGGTCTGGGAGGGAGGGTCTGCTGCTGATTGGCTGGAATGTGTCTGCTGACTGTGAGGTACAGGGTGAAAGTTTACTCAATGATGACGAATAGGGGGCGGACCGAACAGTGCATATGTTCGCCATCCATGGCGAACGCGAACAAGCGATGTTCGCCGGGAACTATTCGCCGGCGAACCGTTAGGGACATCACTGATGATCATATACTGTAACTAAACCCCCATTATGTTTGCCAAAATTAGGTGTTTTAAAAAGAACTAAAATAACAAATAAAATCTGTGAACTTTGAAGTTGCTGTTTAGTGGATGAGCGAATGCGCTGAATCTTGTGTATTGTATGAATTGGCCCAGCAGCACTCCATTTATGCAAGTTCAGGTGAGTGCAGCCCCCTGCAAAATGAAAAAGCATGAAAGGAAAAGAACATTCGAACATAAAACATAGCACTAGTAGAGAAAAGCTCTATCAGCAGGTGTAATTGGATTACAGTTCCAAGTTCCGTCATCCCGAGGTATGGCAAGAACAGGAACACTATCCAGTGTAGTCAGGTAGCAGGGGTGGATGATGTTTCAGCCCTTGAAGTGAAAGGAACAATATTAGCTGGATCCCATGTCACTGAAGGAGTGTGGGTTGATGGGCAGTCGGCGGGCATCATCAGTTCTATTGCTGCAAGCAGTGCAAGTGCTTCGTCTTTAGACTGAATTACATGCGTAGTGCCATTCCAAGTCACTATAAGTGAGCATGGGGTACCCTACCTGTAGAAAACTCAGTTAGCCCTTTGAGAGATCTTGGTAAAATCATAAAAGAGAGCCTCAAATTATAGTGGTGTTTTATTATGTAAAGGCTGCCATGATTCGGTTCCTATCCGATGAACAAGAACATCGTAGGATAACATCCCGTGTGGTTGAGACTGACAGCTCGGCATTTCATGCAACTTTGTAGACCCTGACCGGGATCATTTTCTTGGCCACGGTGTGGTAAAATGGAGGCCACCAACCTCCCAATGTAATGAGACAATTCATCCACCTGAATAGCAGAGTGGATTTTAACGTGATTGCAGAGGTGTCGATTCTCAAGAGAAGTCATTTCCAAAGATAGAGATTGCTGGTCGGTCTGTAATTGTTGGACTCTCGTTCAATGTAGCCACAGTGGCCTGAAAGTCCATATCATCTTCTAATGCTTGAACTCAGCCTGTGACCACCTGGACCTCTGTCTGGATGAGAACAAGATCCGCCGCCATCATTTTGTGCAGGTCGGTAAGAAGGACCTTAAGGTCTTCATTAATTGAAGGTGCTGAGCCATCAGTCTATTCCAAGTGAAGCTGCATACCCAGTTCATGAACCGGCGTAGTCGCAAGTTCTCAGGCATCCGAAGCCTGCTTCTGTATGTCCGCAGGTTGCGGGCCATCTGCAGGGATCAACATAGGTTGTGCTGGCTTCCAGAGCATAGCTCGTATGTCTCTTCAATCAGGTTTTTGGAATCTGTGTCCCATGGTCGGAGACTTTGGAAGGACGACACCCTATATTTACGCATGCATAGCACAAGATTTTGTATAAACAAAATATTAATGGGAATTGAATGTAAAAAAAATAAATTGGGAAGGGTGGAGGGCTAGGCAGAGCCTACAGCACACTGGAGCAGATGCCATCTTTCACAGCTCCAAGTTGGCAGATGCTAAACATGTGAATATCTCTGGCATCATGCACTATTTGGCAGCAATATACCCGGACTCGGCATAATGACAGTGCAGAACCCACTGATGCATGAAAACACAGAGCCGAGGCCTTAAGGCATCCCGGCTGAGTTGTCCTCTCAACATTGACTGAGAGCTCCGAGCATTAAGTGAAGCTGTATTTACACACCAGCATTCCAGCACATCGCCAAGTTAGGAGATGGGGCGAAACTTGCGTTACAACTTAAGGGTACAAAGTTGCGACGTTTGGTTGTAATACAAAATCACTACACAATACTATTTATTTATAGGATACTTATTTAGAGCATTTTCACGCTTTTCATATAAATATTTTATCACCAACTGTAAAGGCAAAGCACCGGAATAAACACCTACACCAAGCATGTCAAACTTGTGGCCAGCAAAGAATATATTTGCGGCCCATCTTCCCTGGGGCCACTTTATGCTGTGGCTGCAACCAGCCGCAAGACAGGAAAGATATTTCCTGTCTGATTCTTTTCTTCCCTCCCACGGCCCCCAGAGGAGCGTCTGGCCTGCTTGAACAGAGAAGAGCAGAGCTGGAACTGGAGGATGGGCGTTTCATCTTAAGGTAGGGGAAGAGGGGCCTTCCTGTGTAGTGTGTTAAATTGGGGAGGGAGGGCACTGTATTAATTTGGGGAGAGGGGACAGTGTATTAAATTGGGGGAGGGAGTGGGGAAGTATATTAGAGTGGTGAGAGGGGGAGGCAGTGAATTATATTTGGGGCAATGTATTGGATTTGTGGGCAGTGGAGGAGGGGGCAATGTATTAAATTAGGTCTGTATGGAGCTGCTGAATGCTCCCCATGGAGATGTTGATTGTCCGCGCAGCTTTTTGCTGTGGATGGGCGTGTCATCTTAAGGTAGGGGAAGAGGGGCTTGAGGGACCTTCCTGTGTAGTGTGTTAAATTGGGTATGGGAGGCACTGTATTAATTTGAGGGAGGGAGGGGGCAGTGTTTTAAATTGGGGGAGGGATGGTGCACTGTATTCATTTGGGGGAGGAAAGTGTATAAAATTGAGGAGGGGGCAGTGTATTAATTTGGAGGAGGGAGTGCAGGGGTGTATTAGAGTGGTGGGAGGGGAGGCAGTGTGTTAAATTGGGGTAGGGCAATGTATTAATTTGGGGAGGGAGGTAGTGTATTAAATTGGGGAGGGAGGCAGTGTATTAGAGTGGTGGGAGGGGGGGCAGTGTATTAGAGTGGTGGGAAGGGGGAGGTGTTAAATTGGGGGGAGAACAATGTATTAATTTGGGGAGGGAGGGGCAGTGTATTAAATTGGGGGAAGGGTGGGTCAGTGTATTAGAGTGGTGGGAGGAGGTGACAGTGTATTAGCGTGGTGGGAGGGGTGGCAGTGTGTCAAATTAGGGGGGAGGGCAATGTATTAATTTGGGGGAGGGATGGGGAAAGTGTATTAAATTGGGGGAGCAGTGGGGCAGTATATTAGAGTGGAGGGAGGTGGAGGCAGTGCATTGGATTTGTGGGCAGTGAATTAGAATGGGGGAGGGGGCAATGTAATAGACTGGGTCTGTATGGAGGCACTGAACGCTTCCCAGGGCCGCCATCAGAAATTGTGGGGGCCCCTAACACAGCTCAAGGTCTGGGCCCCCAGGTGCCCGCCTCCAAATCCCGCCCACAGGAATACACACACATGGACAAAAAAGGACACAGACACACACACAGAAAGATACACACAAATACTGAAACAGACGTACATACATACTCACATACTGACACACACAGATACAAACGGACATACATACAGACAAACAGACATACATACATAAATATATACTGACATACATACATACATACATAGATAATGGCATACATACACATACATACTGATATACATACATACATACTGACATACACAGACATACATGCATACTGACATACATACTGATAGATATATACATACATACCCACATACATACTGACATACACACACACAGACATACATACATAGAGACATATATACATACTGACATACAGATAGACACATACACACAGACATACAGACATACATACACACATACATACTGACACACACACAGACATATACATACTGACATACATGTATACTGACATACACATACACAAACATACATACATATACACATACTGACATACACACATACATACATGCATACTGACATACATACACACAGACATACATGCACACATACATACTGACATACATGCATACTGACATACACACACACACAGACATACATACTTGCAGACACATACACAGACATACATACAGACATACAGACACACATACATACATACATGCATACTGACATACATACACACAGACATACAAGCATACTGACATACACACACACAGACATACAAACATACTTGCAGACACATACACAGACATACATACTGACAAACAGACATACATACAGACATATATACATACTGACATACACACAGACATACATGTATACTGACATATACACACACACATACATACTGACACACACCTCATTTATAAGCCACCCTCCTCTTACCTTTAAGTTGCAGGAGGGTGGCTGGGGATGATGCCTTTGGTGTCCTCTCCTGTCCTCCGCTCTCCCGCTGCTCTCCCCCCGCATGGAGTAAGCTGGGAGGAAGTGACCGGCCGTCACTTCCTCACAGCAGCACTTGCGGTGCAACCGCAATTTTTTTTTAAGTGGCCCGGTCGCGCAATTACACGGCCGCAGCGCTGAAGATATTGGTCCCATGAAGATATTGGGCCCATTGAGTGGCCCTAAATGCTTGGGCCACCTGATGGGCCACCGGGCCTGTGATAACAGTTATGGTTGTCACCCCCTGATGGCGGCCCTGACGCTCCCCATGGAGATGCTGCTTGGCCGCGCAGCTTTTTGCCACACAATAGCCTCCAAATGATTTCCTTTGGGAAAGCATTGGATTGGCTGAGATCTTTAAGTTTATGATCTCAGTCAAAGTGAAGAACACACTCATAGAACTTCAAAATCAACAAGATAACGTCATTGTATTTTACAGGTGTGCAACAGTATATATTCACCATTTCAGTCCCATTACCAAACTTTTCTTAATATGTCAAGGTAGTTGGACTGAAACATTGGTTATATGCAAATTCACATCTCTTTGAAATAAATTAGCTCTTTTGTTTACTTTAAAGCCCTACGAGCATGAAGACATCCAGTGTCAGTTAGGCAACTTTTTTTAAACTGTACTTTTCTAAATAAACCTACGCTACTATGAAAACTGAAGTTTTTGTTTTTTTGCGGCCCAAATGAACTTTAACCTTGTTTATTTGGCCTGTGTTAGCCTTGGAGTTTGACATGCTTGACCTAGACTGTTGTTGCTAATCTGGAGGATAAGGATCCTTTCAAAAGATCCCCAGCCTACGACTTAGAAGTCATAGACAAGTATGGTGCAGGGTATTCAAATGAGGAATTTTACCCCCGTGACCAAGATAGGGATAACATGTCCTTTCAATTTGTCAAGGAGACAGTGTTCATGAAGTTCACCTCCCCTACCTCTGGAGAAGAGCTCAGATCAGTTGCTAGACACATGGTTCCAACCCAGTTTATTGCCTAACTCCTTAGAATATGGCTCTATAAACCACTTGAGAAACAGATTTGCGCTACCAACATGAGTTATCAACATGGGATTAAATTCAGGGAATAGTGGGATGGACGGGGAGAATGCCCCGTCCATCCCACTATTTCCTAAATTTGATTCCATGTTAGTAACTTTTTCAGGAAACACTGTGAAAGGTCTCTGTAAGTGTTTAGAACAGGGCCTGAAAACAGCCCAAGGTAAACTGCTTAATGCAGCTGTTCTGCTTAAATGGACACTCCAGTGCCAGGAAAACAATCCGTTTTCCTGGCACTGCAGGTCCCCTCTCCCTCCCACCTCCCATCCCCGGTTGCTGAAGGTGTCAAAACCCTATCAGTGATTTACCAGAGGCAGCAACGATGTCCCTCGCCGCTGCTTGTTGGTCCGCACGCGCATTAGACCTCTCCATAGGAAAGCATTGAAAATGCTTTCAATGCTTTCCTATGGGGATTTTAGCGATGCTGGAGATCCTCACACAGCGTGAGGACGTCCAGCGACGCTATAGCACAGAAAACCTGTGCTATGAATCAGGAAGTGCCCTCTAGTGGCTGTCTATTAGACAACCACTAGAGGAGGAGTAAACCCTGCAAGGTAATTATTGCAGTTTATAAAAACTGCAATAATTACAGTTGCAGGGTTAAGGGTAGTGGGAGTTGGCACCCAGACCACTCCAATGGGCAGAAGTGGTCTAGGTGCCTGGAGTGTCCCTTTAACCAAATATTAATCATCGCCAATGAGGCTATGTCAGTCAAATCTTTTGACATCTCTGTGATTTGAGAATGAGTACAGATAGCTATTTTCCTATTGGGCAAAACAAAGCTGTTTTATACAAAATCGATGCTGAGCTAGATGACCTGTGCACAAATACGTTTGGCCCACACAAATTCATGAGATTTCTCTGTTGTCACCTCACTGATCAAGGTCCAGGCCTCACTCTGCAGAGCATTCGGATCCAAGCATTTTTCAGCAGCGAGGCCGTGCAACAAGCAGAGAAGCCTTTACAAACGCCAGGCCTCACCTATCTGATTCCTGGGGTTAGAGTACACTCACTACTACCACCTACAAATCTTCCAAACTAAAGGAGCTATACGAGGACGGGGATCTGCTTCCCTCTGCTGACTTAATGCTTCAGGTAATCACCTTTTCCTTTGCTCATGTTCCTACTGTGGGAGGACAAACCCATTTTTTCCCCATTGTGGTCATGTCTCACAATTGAACCCTGGATTCTACAGATGGTCTCTGACTTTCCGTATCTATTTAACAAATTATCTTTTTTAGGAGACATCACCTGTACCATTATTGATGAACAAGATCAACTGTGGTGTCCTCCAGGCCAAACTTCACAATCTTTTCACCAAAACGTGCGATCAAGCACTCTCCTTTCCAACCTTGCTTCATCAGCAACATCTTTTTAATAAACAAAGAGATGGGAGACTTTTGCATGGTTATTAATCTCCAGAACCTAAACCATTTCATCGTTTGTCAATTTTGTCATCATTTGTGCAATCAACTTTGCAAGGGAGACTGGTTCATAAGGCTAGAACTCAAAATACGCCAATCTCACTGTTACAGTTACCCCTTATGCAAATTCTACTATATATGATCAGTTTGCTTCACTGACAGACCAGGTTCGTCTGCAACTAAACTGGTGGCTATGTAATGCAGAGGCATGGTATGGGAAAGAGATTTTCTGAGCCCATACAAATTTCATATTGGAATCAAAGGCCAGACCTCAACACATAGCGTATAGTCCCCAACTGAAGAGCTCCCTTCACATAAATTGTTTAGAGTTGATTGCAGGCTGCATTGCGATCTGCACTTTTGGCAAGAACATTTCCAATTGTACCCTTGGTCTACATGTGTACAATGTCACAGCAGTCTTATATGTGAACTGGCTGAGAGGATCTTATTCCAAATTACAGTTAGACCTCACAAAATACATCTTTTATGCATGGACCGGAATCTACCATTCATACCTACCAGTCTCGGACAATGTTTAGCTGATTGGTTCTCCTGTCACTGAAGGGACATGCTTCTGGAGATGTTGGTGGATGCCACACTAATGCTTCCCCACACTCATGATCTCCTTTGAGATCTGTTAGACAACTGCATCCCCTCCCCCTTCAAGACTGACTTCAACTCTCGGTCTGGACTTTTTCAGGGGATCCTAGAATGTCTCAGTCTAACTGGACACAACTAAAGATCTACTTTGGGATTCATAGGTGCCAGATACCAAGAATTCTTACCATTCCACTAGGTGTCTTTGATATAGCTAGACCTTGATCCCTTTTCAACCTCTGTAATGCATATTCAAATTTTGGACCTCTCTATATGACCAAAGAACATTTTCTGCTCTGCTTTTCCAGCAGCCTTGGTTTCTTTTGACAGATCTTCTATAGGTAGGAACACTTAGGTCAATAAACTATTACGTAAAAAAAAAAACCTAGCAAAGTATTCTCATTTCTGGGACGTCGCTATGGTTCTTTAGTTTCTTGAGAACTGGCTGGATAATGCCTTTTGTTCTCTACGACAAATATTGGCCAAACTAGCTCTTCTGTTATACCAGATCTCTTACTGTAGAGATTCTGATGTGCAGTCTTTTGACACGCATCATTTTTTTAAATTCCCAAATACGCCTGTTTATGATTACGTGTCTTACAAAATCTCAACCTTCTTTATTATTGAAAACCTATTCCCCTGACAAACCTAAACTTTGTGTCACTAACACTACATTTTGTGACAGCACTTTTACATGTGCTTGCTTCGGGTCTTCTTTTTGTCTCTTATGTACGTCCCCACAGACTAATTTCTTCTCCTACTATTGCTTGGTGGATCCGCTGGCTTCTCGCTCTTGCAGGTGCTCATTCTGTTCAAGGTGCAGCTACTTTTTCTGCCTTCGATGGGCAGTTCCCTTAAAAACATTTTGTTTGTCAACCAACAGGACAAAAATATACTTTATTTTTTAGACAGAAGCTTTCCTATGGGGAGCTCTAATGCGCATGCACATTAGGTCTCCCAGCCAGTGGGTGGGATCAGTCTCGCACACCGGCCGACATAAAGACTGGGAGGAGCGGCGGCGAGAAGAAACCACCGCCGAGGGACATCGGCAGGGTGTCAGATTTTCACCCCTTCAGCAACCGCGGATGGGAGAGGACCTGCAGTGCCAGGAAAACGGATTGTTTTCCTGGCACTGGAGTTTCCCTTTAAAAAGGGACTTATAAGAGGAATACGGGGGGTGTTCGCTCGCCATCGGAGGATCCACGTCACGAGGTGTGACATACCCATGGATGTCAGAAGAAGGGAGATACGATCACATGGGTAGTGCTGGAGGAAATAAGCGCATCGGACAACACCGGAAGTACGGACACAGATGGAAAACAGGAAGAAAAGATGCAGATGAACATATTGTGGCGGGTATTTGGGTTTAATAGGATATCATTGAGAGGAGTTGATGTGCCTTATAAATTCAGAGCCAACTTATGATAGGCTCTGAAAATTGTGAGTGTGCTGACTTTGTATATAACAATTTTAACCATTTATACAGGCTAAACTATGTACTGTTTTATTTCATGTTTGGTGCATTTTACCAAGTGACTTAAGGTAAATGGTCCTTATGTGTGCGCTGAACACTTTTTTTTTCCTCACTGCATATTGTATTTTAGTGACTGTACACTTTGGTGTTTTTTTTGTTTTTAGCAGCACCAATTTTGTACTTTTAGCGCCATCTATTCCTTTTTTCTATTCTAAATTATTTTGTCTCTGTTACAGATGTGTTTGGTAATGTTACAACAGTATTTGAATTCATACAGAAGCTTGATATGCAACAGGTTCTGGAATGCCCCACTTTACGAACATGCTTTAGGTTAATGCAGGTTTTGTACATCTCCATATTCCTCATTCCACCGGTATTCTTTTTACATTCAGTCAAGACATTGGTAAGGAGCAGTGCATCATTTCCGTGCCTTGGACAAAATGAAAGTACAACATTGTTGATGGGGACTGGAGACTCATTATTGCTGAATGTAAATTGGCCAAAGTAATGCATATACTCAGCTAGGTGAAGTATTCTACATGCTCATTATTTTGAAAACATGATGAGAACGTTTTTTGAATCCATAAACTACAGCGTCTGGGTGCTCACTCAAAAAGGTCCTATTCTCCATATATATGATATGGACCACACAAAATCTTGTAGTAAGACTAAGAGGGACACTACAGTCATCAGAACAATAACAGCATTATGTAGTTTTTGTGTCTATAGCCTGTCCCTGAAGGTTTAATGTAAACAGTCAGTGTTTACAGGACAGCATAGTAACACCTATAGTGGCTGTCACTCAGATGGCAACTAGAGTTGCTTAGTAGTCCAGTACTGAAAAGGTTTAATATAATAAATAAAAGGCTTGTGAAACGTGAAGCAAAGTTTCTGTCTTTCTATTAAATGTAACTGTTGAAGTACTTTACTTATGCTAGACTTGTGTCAGTCATACCATTCTGAAAACAAATACAGTGTAGTCTCTGATTTATTAAAGATATTTTTATACGGTCTTCTAAAGTTGAAACAATCTTTATTGCAGTTGTTGGTGTAATCATGTTTTTTTTTTTTTTTTTACATGTTCTATAAACGTGTAATATTTGCATATGCCTATAACTATCTCAGCTGTGGAGGTGGGGCCAGCCACAGCGAGACCAGCACAGCATGGGAGAAATGGGGAGTAAACTCACCTTTTAGGGTGATCGGAGCACTTAGACAGCCTCACTAGTGTTCCTTTAATTAAAATAAGCTTCAACATAAATTCTATTTACAGAAAAGTAAAATTGAATTCTCTAGTTATAGGGAATCAACACAGTAAAGGAGGAGACTATTTTTAAAAGAAGAAAAAACTACCACAAGAGGACAGTCTTAAATTAGAGGGGCAAACATTTAAAAATATCAGGAAGTATTACTTTACTGAGAGGGTAGTGGATGCATGGAATTGCCTTCCAGCTGAAGTGGTACAGGTTAACACAATGAAGGAGTTTAAGCATGCGCGGGATAGGCATAAGGCTTTCCTAGTTATAAGATGAGGCCAGAGACTACTGAATATTTAGAAAACTGGGCATGTCTAGATGGGCAAAATGGTTCTTATCTGCCGTCACATTCTATGTTACATCCCACAAATGTATCTTCTGTCTGCATATTCTAAATGCATTTCAGGTAGAAGACAATACATTTAGGTTTCTTTTTCTCAACAGCTTTTCACTGCAGAGAATAGATAACCAATATAAATCTGCTAAACTGCAAATGAGGGGTGTGGGATACTGTTCAGCGACAAAGGTAATCACCTTGATAAATGCTGTATTACCATGCACTTTTTTTCTGAGCAGGGTTTGGAGTGGCATTCGGGATAGAGACTATACTTAGATTGCCACTTATGTCTGAACTGAAGGACGCACTGTACAGTAACCCGACACTGGGAAACCAGAGGAATAGTCAAGCAGCTGATCGTGCTCAGTGTCTCCTGCTACCACCAGCTCCAAATTCAGAGCTCACTAGACATTTTGCATTTTTTCCCCCTCCTCCTTTCACTCTTCAGTGCACTACTCTCCCTCCCCCCTTTAAAAATACATTTTTGAATTCATATATTCTGTCTATTAAATGCACATTCACAATTCAAATACTAAAAAAGTACCCAAACAGAAAATACAGAACATTATACACAACTAAAATTCTGGGAACAAGACAGGTGTAAATGAACAAAAAATATCATTTGAGTGCTCTGATTCCCCATTAATATACATAGGGGTTTGCATATGAGCGATTTTCTGAAACTTCAGCTGCAGTCAGAATTAGAAGGAATGCACAGCTGTACAGGAGGGTTTTTTGTGTGTGCTTTTTACAGTATTACAGATAAGAGTAAATTTAGCATTTATGCTATGTTTGTATATTGAAGACAGAGGCTTTATGACATTCAAAAAAAATATTGTAAAATTGGCTGAATTATCTGATAGCTACAAGGTTTAGGTCCATGGGAATTGGGGTGTACTTACTGCTGTAATGTTGGTACTTTAGGGCCATAGGCTAATAACAAAATGTATTTATTAAAATGGGTTTTCATTTTGAAAGAAAGTAGTGAAAAGGTTTCTGGTAAGTATCCAATTCTTCCTTCCAATGCATACATTTTCTGTGCATACCAGAGACAAATCAAGGCTGTAACCAATGCTAGTTATGGATCCAATGCAGAAGGGGAGGTCAAATGAACCTCATGAAAGGGCGTGAGATCTCAGCATCACTACAAGCTCAGACACTACAAATGGAAATATTGAGATACAAACAGCAATACAGGAAGGATGTGGAAGTGTATATACATAGGGGACAAAGATGATAGTGGAGAAAGAAAAAAGAAAAAAAAAAGTCTAAGGGTGCGAACATGAAAATAGGCTGCATGGAAAGCCAGAGTGAAAAATTAGGGTATAACAGTGAAAACGGTGGGGAGGGCTGGAGAAAAATAAATAAAAATTCTGCCCCAAATCTGCCTGGACACTGGCATCATGTAATTATGGCATTTGATAAATATTCTTCAGATGTCTGAACCCCAGACTATGAATTTTAGTTCTTCAAAACATTTTAGATGGAATCTGCTGCCAAAATAAAACCTCCCTGACTGAACTAGGAAAAACATCAGGTAATCAGATCATTTACCACCCCCTAATCTAATTTTAAACCAATAGAAATGTACATTCCATAAATTCACAATATAGTTCAATTAAAAGCTTACAAGGTATGCAGTGTGAAAAAGAAACACTACTCATTATCACACATAGTGTAGTTAATAAAAACATTTATTTTGCCTTTATACAGAACAACCTTAAGTATACTGTGATTTGGAACATTCATAATTTCCACAGCCTTTGCTGGCATTTTAGTTTCTGTACGGACAAGGGTAGGAGGTATTATGCAGTCAGTAGATGTGGAGGAGTGTATTTACCAGTGAGCCAAAAAAAATAATAACTGGTTCCCTTTCTTTCTTTTTTAAAGAATATTTAGAGGAAGATTACAGACTAAACTTGGGATATGGTGGTTGCTCTTTTCTCGGACAATGAGATACTAGCTGCGGAGACAAACTGATACAAAGTCATCACATGTTTGAACATTTCAGCAGCAGTAACACTCTGAATTAATTCAATCTAGCTAGTGACACATGTAACCAATTTATCTGGAAGCGCACCAATCGTCTTTTTCACCAAAATAATTTGGGTGATGCTGGACAGTCACAAGCAAATAAGAACAGACATCAAAAAAGTAGGGGCAAAAGCAGCTCTTACTCTGGGGGAAACATGGTCTCATAAAAATCAACCAATTCATCACAGTGGCTTTACCTTTTAACATACAAACAAGAATAAAAAGAAAATCACTCCCTCACATATGGTATTTACCAGGAATTTACACATATAAAACAAAACTCTGGCAAACTGATAAAAGTAAAAGCTTCATTTGAGAAAGAGCAAGGAAAAAAAAAAACAAAAAAAACAAAAACCTAAATAAAAGCTGCAGGTACCCACAACAAAAATATTGCTCCTGGACAGATCCTGCTTAAAAACCAAACCGAGGGAAAGGATTAAAGAAAATAACTTTTTTTTTTCCGTTCTTCGACAGTAATGAACCAAAGTGGCCAAATGATAAGGTGCATCCCTACATATTATTTAGACCCAATACACTGCCAGACATGTACCACTTATATTTCTGGTAACATTACATTTCTTTTTATGCATCTTATCAATTTATTTTAATACTTTGTAGGGCTGTCTATTAGAGCAGCTTGTACGCTCTTGATAACCAGAGTTTTGCCAAAACATCCTATTTAAGCCCATTTAAGAGAACAACCAGCTGCAGTCTATAGCACAGTTTAGAGAACTGTAATAGATCACAATAGAACATAAAGCTTCCTCACAGTATATCTATTGGCTGGGTCTCAACGTGTGATACACGCTATAAAAAAAGAAAAAAATAATCCTGAAAAGGTTTGCATCTATCAGATTTATAAATAAGTAGAAAGAAAGACTTTCAGATATGAAATAGGGTAAAATATGCAGTGCAGCTTTCATGGCCAAGCTCTCTGTGTGTTTGATAAGAATGGGCTTTCTGATCGATAAATTAAAGTTGATCTCCCAGCCTTGAAGGGAAGTAATACAGGGTAAAAAATGTGTTTTTAGCATAAATAACCAGAATTTGTTTTCTTGTCAGCGCTCAGAAAAATGGTGGGGTGCAAAGCAGTCTGTTGAAACAAAAGGTGAACTGTCTTTTGAATAAACTCTCAGCACAGGGGCCGAGGCCACTTTTTCCGTTGTGATTAACCAGACTTTGTTCCCACCAGTTGCATAAGACCATCTGTACTCATGGATTTGGGCCTCTCAAGTGGGAATCCAAGAGCCCTGCTCCAGATGAGCTGAGCAAGAACACCCAATGCTCTTGACACCCCAAAAAGTACTGTGTAGTAATTCATCTCCTTCATGCCATAATACTGCAAGAAAAAAAATAAAAAGGGAATGGCATAGGTTAGAAACAGTAATAGTGTTTGCGTCACAATCTAATTGCATATACTCAAACATATTGTATACATTAAGGGTATCGTGATGCACAATTCAAATGTTAGAACTTGAGATTAAATAGTGCAATTCCTGCAGGTATACTCTGATTTTGAAATTTAGAGATTTGTTATGAAAGAAATTACAGAAACAATTCACCACAATACACATCTACTTCCTAAAGTGCTCATGTGTCTGGAGTGTCATATTTGTCCATATTTGGTAATATCCGATTTCAATAGATAATTGTCAATTTAAAAACCGGAGACAGAAACATCTCCCTGTGCCGAATATCACAGACCTACTACTTCAGCAACCCCAGATTTGTTTTATGCTGCAGCTCAACATTGACCATATTCCCTATTGCCAGCTTTTTGGGCAACTGCAAATTGGAGGCCTGCCATAGTTTGTTTATGGAGACGTGACAGTAGCCATGTCATCAAATGGACCAGCATTAAACTGTAATTGAAATTGTGTTATTTCTAACACAAGCCAACACCAAGCCTAGCTAACCTTTAATGAGTAACCTTATAAATGCAGTTTTGTAGATGGCTTCCCGGCTGACTGATCATTTATGAGAGCCAATCACATTTATCACAAGAATTAACTGACAATTATTCCCAATTTGTAGGCACAACCCTTACACCAGGATGACAAGCTCCAATCAAGAGTGGCCTCATTATGGTTAATTGTGACGATTGTATTCCATATTGCTTTGGAAAGCAGGTAATTATGTGATAAGCTGTTTATTTGCTGCTATCAGTTCATACATAGTCTGTGTGACAAACTCCCCTGTCCTCGTGAGTTTGCCACAAGCTCCTGGAGGAGCCTGCTTGCTTGCCAGCCTCCTGCCCACTGACTATGGGCCAGGTCAGTGACTGTATTCCCCCTGGTTCAGCACTTTCCATTAGTGTGGATAGAACCAAACGCTAGCTCCCTGGCGGCTGTTTGCATGGGCCAAAACTGTAGAGACTTCAGGGGGACTTGGCCGCGAAAGCCCTGGAACTATTTTCGGCATGAGGACTTTGCGGTTCCCGGTCAGTCCCCAGCATCACTTAGCCGCAATTCCATGGAACTATTTTCAACATGAAGACTTTGCGGTTCCCGGTCGGTCCAGAGCAGCACTTAGCCGCAATTCTATAGAACTATTTTCGGCTAGGGGACCATGCGTACGGTCGGTCAAATTATGACTTCCGGGAAATTCAAGAACCCCTGAACCGATCTGGGTGATTTTTGGATATGCTGGTCATCCAGATCGGGGCTCTCAGGGGATGTAACTTTTATGAGGTTTTATGTTTTTTTAAAGGTACTTTTGGGGTGTTTGGGAAATGTGTGCTTTTTGTGCTTGGAGAGAATATAGTTTAATATAGTGCTTGATTCAGCGGGGAAAGTCCTTGTAAGGACTAGAGCTCCCAGGACTGAATGTCATCCAGTGCCTGGGGGTTGCTAGAGCAAGTTCCCCATTCGGCTCCAGGAGAGAGTGGTTCCAGGGCCCCAGTCAAGCCACGGCGACTATGGGCAGAAGTGCTGCAGTTTGTCCCCTGTTCCAGCTAGGAAGCGGCCCTTGTCAGAGGTACCCAGCTAGAGGTACAGGGAGCTCTGTCACAGTCTGGTTCACTGCTGAGCTGAAAGTTTTAAATAGGAAAGCTGGATAGATAAGAGAGCCTTCTTAATTTTACATGCTGGCTAAACCATGTGCAAGCAAAGACCTGTGTGTACAAAATCCCTACAGATAATCCATTAACAGTCTCAAGCAGAAAGCATTCCTTGATCGACTGAATGGATGCTGGGTCAAACGTCCACACAGAATCTCTAAGGCAGCCAATAAATCCATAGAATGAAAGATTACGTTTATAAATAATAGATTATATATTTTCTAACCATTTGGCTTACACGGTGTAGAGATGCAATAATTATACAGTTAAAAACAGAAATGCCATTCTTAACAGATCATTTGTGTGTTTAAAGTCCTAAAGGATTTACACCAGCTTTTCAAAGACAGACTAAAGATTAGCAAGCGTGCTCATATTAGGAGTGTGTAATTCTAGTTTTTGTTTTCCATCATTCATTTTTGCTTCAGTGTCCTGCAGGCAGCTGCTCAAGGCTTCTGCCCTTTCTTGCAGAACAAATAATGAACAAGATATAAATGATGTGCTTAATGTGCACATATAAATGCTTTTTAAGACTTATAAACTGGGACTGTGGTGTGAAAGGAGCTGATCTGAGGAAGCCGAACCCCTCAGCGAAACGCGTCATCACGCTTTGACGTCATAACGCTCACCGGCCGCTAAGCCCCGCCTCCCGGAAGTGTTTGGAACTAGGAAATCCTTTCGGCATACAAAGACCCTGTACAGCCGGCGCCGAAAGTGTGACTGCATATACCAGCACTAACCATAAGAGGAGACCAGATAAGTGGGACTTAGCCTTATGCAGCAATATTTTTAAAGAAGCAATAAAGGATTTAACTTCACCACAGTTTCCAGTCTACATTATTGCAATATGTTTTATCACTTTGTAATTCTAACCTGCAGTAGGACTCCACTGTGAGCATCCACATTCGGCCATGGGTTCTTTGCTTTGCCCTGCTCCAACAACACATTAGGAACAATCTTATAAAGCTGAGCCACCAGTTTAAACATGGGATCGTTGGGCAAGTGTTTCAGAGCAAACTCTCTCTGGCACGTGTATCGAGGATCAGTCTTTCTCAGCACAGCATGACCATAGCCAGGAACGACCTTCAATGGAAAATGAAAGGAAAGATTACTGATGAAATAGTCTAGACATCAGTTTAAACAACAAAGGTACGTATAGTAGTGTTCATACCCTGCCAGAGTTCAAAGTGTTCCAGATGTAGTCTCTCAGCTGCTCATCAGACACTTCCCCTCCTAAATCTTTCTGCAGGTTTGTCAGCCACACAAGTACTTCCTGGAATCCAAAACCAACAGTGAGGGAAAGGCATGAGAGGATGCTCACCGTTATTTGCTTAGAGGATCCTATTTGCTGTGAAACATACCTGATTAGCCAGTCCATGTAGAGGGCCTGCCAGTCCATTCATGGCTGCCGAGAAGGAAAGGTAAGGATCGGAGAGGGCACTGCCCACCAAATGACTGGTGTGTGCACTAACATTGCCTCCTTCATGATCACTGCAGTAGAAAAATGAGTAACATTGACAGAGTGGGTCTAAAGTACATTATTTTAGATATAAAGAATATGAACATGGCAAAGTTATTGCTGCAACACCGTACTAGCGCCTTTACGAAAAAGCATTAAGCATCGGCTCAGGGGAGGTGGGAATCTGCGTAACAAACACCCATGCATAAGAAATTGGATTTTTTTTTTTTTTGAAAAGAGGTAGACATGAAGGTATCCATATGCATTCAGGTGCCCAGAGTAAAGTTTTAAGATAAAATATTCACTTATATTAAAGGAAAACACCAAGCAGGATAACCACTATAGTTTACGCTCAATCTAAGCAATCAAAGAATAACCTGAGGTCTGCCAGGCGCTGATTCCCTGCACTTTACCTTCTGGTAATGAGAACCAGAAGCTCCTAGCAGAGATGCTGTTGGCATTACGGAGCCAAGCCCTGCAAGGCAAGACCAGCTCATTAGCAGAGAGTCAGCAAATCACGCTTGGCCAAACTGCTGGTCTTTGACAGATTGTGGCTTTCACTGAAGCAGGGATCAGTGACCAGGTAAGAAGTCCAACCATTAGTTACAGTGGCAGGTTTGCCAGAGCACTTCTAACGCCAATTTTCTATAGTGCTTTGTAGTGTTGATGGTGTTCAGAGTGTTCCTTTAAAGCACGAGCGAGCTAGCATATCAAGAATAATACACATTGGGAACATAACCAGATAGTAATAAATTCTATAAAGTCTGCAGTAGCTTACTACTTCTAGAAGATTTTTATAGCAGAAAACCCATTATACTTCAAGGAGGAAGCATGAAATAGATAAGAAAATGCAATAAAACCAGAATAAGTCTCATTGGACTTGAAGGAAGAATGTGACTTTTCTGTGTATGGGGAGGATCTGCCATTGCAGTTGGAGGATTTAGTGTGCACGGTGGGCACATTATTATTCGGTTAGGAACCAGATTGCGTGCGTGTGGTATTGAGCACAAATAACTGTTATATTTTCACTGATTGTTTGAATGGGAAAATAATGTGCCCATGCAGCTAAAGGGTGCAGGCTGATATTATTGTAAGTATATAAAATAAAATCAGCCTGCACCTTTTAACTGACAAATGAGTATAGAACAGTTACTACAAACGGAACATACAGCATTCTTACCTATGGATTGTGAGATAAAGCCTCATAAGTTCTGTGAACTCTGGTTCTGTGTATCCCAGCATGTTTGTGAAGTTATGGGACCAGTCAAGGTTAGAATCAATGGCTCCAATACTGCTTCCCTCACGGTAGAGGTTACGGTAGATTTTAGCAGCAACACAGGGAAGTTTGGCAATTAGATCCATAGAATCTTCATATATCAGCTGCAAGAAGTAACATTTTTAATGTCAAAATGGTGTGTTATGGAAACACTAGCACCTATCAACAAAACCTCATTGTTCTCATATACACAGTCCATTTATAAGCAGTGTAATCCAAGTGCAAACATTAAATTCTAACTCCACATTTTGAGCAAAAGGGTAAGGGGTAGGGACAGCTTGCTCCTTTCAGTTTCATTTAAAAAAACAAAACAAAAAACACACATTTATTCCTTCTGACCCTGGTATGAAGTCAAAAGATCATATTAGAAATTAATTAATCACATGTTAATTTACAAACGCCATCACTTAGGACATCATGAAGTACCCACAGCATTGTGCGTCAAGCCTTCTTACCCAACACATACATTAAATACTTTACATGCTGTGTACTCTAAGTGTGACTACACCAGGGTGTAGGAAGAAATCCAAGGACAGGATGACATTGATAAGTCATGTGAGTCTGTTTCACATTTACAGAGATAACTTTGATTAGTTTTCTCAGGTTCAACTGTGTAACTCAGGTGTTAAATTCACAGCAATATAAACGATCACTGTGCACAAGTCAAGGTTAGCATTATACATATCCTACATAAAACCACAGAAATAACTACAGATTGCAAGACATTACAGGCATACCAGCATGACACCAATAAATCAAGAACACCTGTCAAAAATGGTATGTATACACTATTAATAAAGAGCAAACAGACTGGAGCTGTACAGCACATTATGCAAGACAGACTACTGGGTTGTGCAGTCTAATTCTTCGCTAATTCTTTCTGCTGATTTTAAAGTAAAACAAAACCCCCAAAACATTCCCAGAGAATGGAACAGTATCACAGTAAAACAATAATAGCACTTGACAATACTGCCTCGTGCAAACACTCTGCTGTACAGCGCCCATTTATTCAGAAACATTCTACAATGACACAGTAGACAAAAAAAAGAAAAAAAGGAAAAGTAAATAAATGACAGAAAAGAAATGTTGCCAGATAAAAGAGGTGAAGTAGACCTTGTTCTAATGAGCTTTCAATCTAGCTACTGATGTGAGATTATCACTGGCAATGAACATTACCAAATTAAACTAACTTAATTGGCACACGGATACAAAACTAGATTTGGGAAAGCTGGATTTGTTTCCCTTGTTATAATAACTAATAAACACAAAGTTAACTAAAACCGATGAATGTTCCTATAAAAGGTTTCATGAGTAGGCTTTACTCTTCCTCCAGTGACTGGCTTACAATTTGACACAGACCCTAGCGAGCCATATTTAATGAATAAATACATTAAAGCAGCAGAGACTCAAAAAGATACTGCTACTGCTACTTCCATTAATTTCTACAAGGGACAACACACAGTGATATGATAAGTATTGTGCAGGGCATCTCTCGTTTTACACTGGGAAGGCAGGGATTAAATGTAACAATCTACTTCCCAACTCAACAAGCCCAGTTACAATATCCTAATATTAGTGATTAATAGTGATGTCCCGAACGGTTCGCCGCGGATTCCAGTAAGCAGACACATTCCAGCCAATCACCAGCAGACCCTCCCTCCCAGACCCTCCCACCTCCTGGACAGCATCCATTTTGAAGCTGCATTCTTAGTGAGCTGTCCAGGAGGTGGGAGGGTCTGCTGCTGATTGGCTGGAATGTGTCTGCTGACTGGAGTCCGTGGCGAACCGTTCGGGACATCACTAGTGATTAATAATAATTATTAATAACATGGTCGAAAATGTTCACTTGTTGAAAATACAAATCAAAAAGTGAATTTGCAGAAGATGGTTCATTAACATGATATGAACCTATAAAAATATTACCTACAAAACAGCCCCAATATTATTTGTAGAGAAAGGTATAGCAGGCATCGGCATACCATGATTTTCGCACTGGTAAATACAAATGAGGCAGCAGAAAAGGTATTCATGGATCAATGGGCTGCCCCATGTAGGTCAAGGGAAGAAACTCAGAATGTCCAATTCCAGAGACGTCTCACATCCATGTCAAAGATCTGTACAATTTACCCCTCTACATTTTTAAATCACGTATCAACAAGACAAACGGTCCTCTTAATATACAGGAAGAGAACAGGTGAAATGTCAATTCCCAATGATTAGAGTCCCAGGATTTTAAAACAATTTTATCGCACTGTTCAGAATAATAATAAAGAGGTTAGAAAATAGAAGCCTTAAATCTGTCCATAACATTTGATAAACATGACTTAGATTCTCAAGTTCTCACTGCACCCCATTTAAAAATCGCTTTTCCAGACAGCTCTTACCTCCCAGTACTTGGATCTGTTGACACCTTCAGCATAGGCTCGTGCAAAGTTGCTCTCACTGTTAAGGGCGGTAATGGCTGCGCTAAACTGGGACATGGGGTGCAAGTTGGTGGGAAAGTTGTCAAGCATGGTCACTACGTGGGAAGGCAGGGCAGCTCTCTTAGCCCATTCCTTAGAAATCCAGCTGACCTGACAATGAGAGAGAAACATTTTTAATTAAAAAATGCTTTTAAAACAAACATTTCTGCAAACAGTCGAAAGCCTGTAGATTATGTTTATATTAATAAGCAAGCAAGATGCATTCAAAGACTAAAGGAGTTGTGACTCATTGTGTTATTCCATATTCAATGAACACATACAAGGAGATATAAATGCACAGCATATAAGGATGATTGCAGATTTAAAATAAACCTTCATATTCAGATAAGTTAAAAGAAGTATATAATTTCAGCTACTGATCTTTAACAAGACCCCAACACTTAACTGGTTTTACCACCAATAAGTTGTAGACTATAAACACACACACACACACACACAAAAACCATAGTCCACTTTAAAGAGTAGGTAATGTAATCTATAGTTTATGCGATAGCTTTGAGGTTTAACCATTGCCATTTTGGGCAAAGAGTGAGTGTGTGCATCCTACAGAATGCCCCAATTGCAAGTCCATATTGTAATTGAATGTGCACCAAGCATTATACAAAAGACTACTATAATGATATTTAAAGGAATGGGGTAGAATTCTCATTTTCTGTTCCTGTGCAGGACCATCTTTACTGTTTCGCACAATGTTCCCTACTAAACAACTGAATCCGTCAGAACAGTCACTGGTTACCCTGGTTACAAAACCTGCATTATATAAACTGGACGTATTTCCTTTGTAAGGAAAACTGGGTTATCGAAGCACAAAGTGACCACGTATAATGTGTAACAGACCAAACGGAAAAATTATAATTGTGAAGATAAAGCACTCTTTGTTCTTTAACAAAATTACCTCAAAGTCAAGTTGCTTTATGTCAATGCCCTTGTATTGAATCCACAATTAAAAACACAGCATGAGTAACTGAGGCCCTCTAGCTGTTACACTACAAATCCATTTAGCTAGGTGTCCTTTCACGAATTTAGAAAACGAACTAAACAACGTGGCTAGTAGCAGCAGTCACACGCATGCATCTCTGAAAACTAAACTGCCAGGATTTTACATTAAGCAATACAAAAATCTGCTTCAGGGTACCAAGAGCATGCGTTGTGCTGGTAGTGGGTGACAGAAGTCTGCCAACACAACTAATGCTGTTGGTCCCTTCAAGCAATGATGTCAGAACCATCATCCTGAGTGATGGAGGATGTCCTTCTACAGGGCTAATGCCAAAGGAGTTCCTCATGAGTCCAGCTGCTTTGAACCACACTCAAATCAGGCAAAGTCAACACTGCTTTAAGGGTCAAGAGCCATAGCTGTCTCTTCTCCTGCGTTTTATAACATGTAACACCCAGCACACGTTTTATTGACAATTAGAGCATGTATACACGCTTCCTTACTAAGGCTGACAGGTCTCTGTGGCTAGATTCAACCAGTTCCAACTCTACTTTTCAGACCGCTCTTCCCAAAAAGTAGTCTGTCTACTTTTCTCTCTCTCTCTCTCTCTCTCGTGAGTAATCCCTATCCTGGCTCTTTTCTGGTTGCTGTGTGTTTGTAGCCTTTCCTTAAAGGGAAACTATAGTGCCAGGAAAAGGAACTATAGCTCCCTTATCGCCCCCTCCCCTTGCAACAATGGCTGCACTCACATTAGAATTCCCTATAGAAAAGCATTATACAATGGTACCTAGCGTCAGTTAGGAGAACAATATTTGGTCAGGTAGACAGCCACTAGAGGTGGAGTTAACCCTGAAAAGTAATTATTGCAGTTTCTTAAAAAATGCAATAATGACCTTTGCAGTGTTAAGGGACCTGGGATAGGGCACCCAGACCACTTCAATGAGCTGAAGTGGTCTTGGTGCTTATAGTGTCCCTTTAAACACTTACTTGCGTTCTGTGCAATTACACTAACAGGGTTATTTAATATGTGAGAACTGCCAAAAAATCCAAGTGAAATTAAAAACGTAGACGAAAATAGCCAAATTAGAAAAAATTTCGGTGTCAGTTCTGTTTTTGGTTAAGCCATTTTAGGCTTCAATTTCAAATTCACATTGAATTTGATGCAATTCTCTAGTGCATAACCCTGTATGTGTCTGTTTGTCTTTTCAAAATGTGCTCTTGCATTCTATCCTTAGTGTGACTGGCTACTCAAAGGACCACTCCACAGTGGATTTCACATGCACTGTGGGGTGGAAAAAATATAAATAAAGTTGAGTAGATACACATATGAACACACACACACACACAAAAAAAAAAAAATAGTTGAGTAGACATGCCCCCATGAATACAACCATGTAATCACTGTGGTTATATCTAAAAAAAAAAGAGTTTCAAAAGCTGCAGCTCTTATGACTGCAGCCTTTGCAAGTTCACCCCTTTCGGTCTCTTGACACTGAAATAACCAGAGGCTTCTCATTGAGAAACCTCTGAATCTTCACTCTGAATGCATGCTCATGCTTGCCTAGTTTTCTAAAGTGTCCAGTACATATGCACAATTTTTTGTCCTGTTAAAGCTGAAGAGGGTACAGACTCACATACGTAGCAGTTGTCTACCAAAGATTTTCAAGAGTGCCAATAAGTTGCATGAACTTGAGTTTGTTGTGCAAGATTTATTTTTGCATTTTAAAAAAGGGAAAAAAAATGATAACCAGGAACCTCGTTTGAATTTTTACTTTATAAGTGGACACAATACGAATTAGATCACTTCTCTTATTTACAAAACTATGGAGTATATACAGGCCAATTTCTGAGAAAGAGATGCTCTGTCAAGAAACATTTTAAGAGAACTCTACTGATCATCAGTCTTTGTATCTCAGGCACAAATCTGCCCTTGGATATTAAATATTATTTGGATGAACCATTTTACAATTCGCAAAGCCATGTAACTGGACAATAGGCCACATTTGCTTTCAGTGTATTTTATTTTGGAAAACTATCTTGATTAAGCATCCAAAGTTATGGTCGGTATGGATTTAGAGTTACTGCTCAGAGTAACACGTGGCCATTCTGAAATGATTACATACCAAAAAAATAAAAGGCAGATATCCTTAATTTTAACACGCAAGATTTACCTGCTCTTGGGTGGGCACCTCTCCAGTCACCAAGAGCCAGAAGAGACCCTCAGGCAGTGGCTCCTCTCCTCCTGGTGCCTTGGGAAGCAACTTCTGGCATTCAGGGATGCTGTAGCCACGGAAACGGATGCCCTGGAAACAGAGATTACAAAGTGCTTATGGGAATAAAATGTGTATACTGTTAAGTGAAGATGCATCAGGGTAATTTTTACCTCATCAGGATCAAGCACAGATGTTTCATAGACTAATCCTTTCATTCCTCTCATGCCCCCATAAACCTGAAAGGCATAACAAATAGGTTATTTTTTTCTTTGTATCTACTCAAATCCTTCCTGTATTTCAGTACAGGATCTTCTATTAAAAAGCACATCATAAAAATAAAATAAAAAGATATGTTGCAAATGTTACAAGTGGCATGCACTAACATGGAATGCAACATGCATGGATATAAAGCAAATATAAAATAATCTGTTGATTTAAAATAAAAAGTAGTATTCATTTTGCCATGAAGTAGCTTCCAGACACTCAAACAAAATCAAAACAAGTCAAATTGGCAATAAGAACTCAGATATCCTGGGCTAATAAAAGCAAACATATGAATGCATGATAACGTTTACAAATGTATTTTAAACTTCTAAATGTCTATAAATTGTAATTTAACATGAACTGACTTAAAGGGATCCTATTGTGCGAGGAAAAAGCTCCCAAATGCTTTCCTATGGGGAAAATCTGATGCTGGAGGTACGTGAGGACGTCCAGCGTCAGATAACGGACCAAAAGTCCGTTTGGATTCTGGAAGCCCTCTAGTGGCTGTCTGGTAGACAGCCACAGAGGGCAGACTTAGAGCTGCAATGTAAACATTGCAGTTCTCTGGAACTGTAAAGCTTTACATTGCAGCACTAAGTGCAAAAGGGTCACAGTACCCAGACTACTTCAATTAGCTGAAGTGGTCTGGGTGCCTACAGTGTCCCTTTAAAAACATTACATGTCCTTTTAATATAATATGTAGCAAGTCAATAACCATGTCCCATTATCACCATGGAAAATTTGGGGGTGAAACACAGAAAACACACTTCACGTATAAAGCAAGCTGAAGTGTCCCTTTAAGGATAATTTGTAATACACTAGGGCTTATCTTATCACCAAGTTACAATCTTAGCCACAACAATAGCAGTTATAGTGACTGATGCTTAGAGTGTTCTTTTAAAAAGTAAGTCAATGCCATGTCATAACAATATGGCCCTTAAATGAACAAGATAGTCACCACTGACACAGCCTGCTATGAAAAAAAAAAAAAAAAAAGGTTTAATTTTTAATCTGATGTAACTTACTTTAAAAGTTTGTATCTCCTGCTCTGCAAATTTAACTTTAGAATAACACACACAGGAGACTGCTGAAGAGCCTAGCAAGCTAATAACTCAGCAGGAGGAAAGAAATGCTAAACAGAATATGCAATAAAGGAAGTTTAAACATTAGAGGACTCTTTACAGGAAATGCTGTGTAAGTCACGGCCAGGGTGGTGTGAATAGGGCTGTATAAACAAAATGGCTGAGAACTGAACATTAAGACTGCAAGGGCATGAGCTATACACCAAAACTGCTTCATGAGGCTAAAGTGGTGACTATAGTATCCCTTTAAAAAGTAGAACATTTGATGTCAAAATACACATTTGTCATTGTCAAGAAACCCTAGCTGCTATACATACAGGAAATATCTTATTGGGAGAGGGTCTGCACAGACCAGATTCAAACTGAAGAGATTTTAAAATGTTTAAACTGCAGAACATTTATGGATGGTCATAACACCCAAGTTTTCTACAATAATCCCCAAAAATAGATATAACATGTCCATTAATTGAGCATCTAGTCATGCCAGACCAATCCCCCAAAAAACTGACTTCTCACTTAAAGGAGCACTATAGGGTCAGACATAAACCTGTATTCCTGACCCTATAGTGTTAAAACCACAAGCTAGCCCCCCTGGTCCCCTCTTGTCTCCCTAAATATAGTAAAATCTTACTTGTATTCAAGTCTGAAGCATGTGAACTGTCCCTGTGTGCTGACATAATCAGAAGTGCTGGTCTGAGCCACAGTGCTTCACTGTAGAATTGGCTGAGGCTGTCAAGGAGCTAGATCAGATGCAGAGTCAGCACAAGTCAAACACAACCCTGGCCTATCAGCACCTCCTCATAGAGATGAATTGGATCAATGCATCTCCATGAGGAAAATACAGTGTCTGCATGTAGAGGGTGGAGACACTGAAAGGCAGTGCTGCTTACTCTGCAGCACTGCCCAATGAAGCAGTTTTAGCAGCCATTTGAGTAGTTATCATTAGGCTGTAATGTAAACACTGCATTTTCTCTGAAAAGACTGTGTTTACAGCAAAAGGCCTGAAGGTAATGATTCTACTCACCAGAACAAATTTAATAAGCTGTAGCTGTTCTGGTGACTATAGTGTCCCTTTAACTTGTGCAATTTTCTGAATTTTTACAGGCGATGTCTTGGCAGGGATAAAGACATTTGAAGATCACAGTATAAATTCATGGGAAATATTGGTTTAACATTTGGAAAGAAAGAAAATAAATCATATGCTAACTCAGAGACACAAGATTTATCTCCTAGCATTTGAATCAATGCTGTACCCACCATGTCCACAGTGATCTGACCAATGACAGTCTTGCCATGTTGCTGCTTGAAGTTCTTGATTCTGGTTTGTTCTTTGGGAATGAGATCTGACAGGACATCCTTAAGGTTCTATAGAAAATGGGGTAAAAAGAAGCACATAAATCTCAAAATATATTCAAAGTGGAAATGCGCTATCCGATGCCAAAAATAATCTAAAAGCAACACAAGAGGGGGACAAAAATGGCATGAGACTCACCGTAGCAGTGCTTGCTTGTCGAGCAGCAATCAGTACACAAGGGGAGTTCTGTTTGGATAAGAAAGAAGAAATTGTGCCCATTATTCACAGGTTTGACAACAGAGAATAAAGACAAACTATTGCGGTGTGCCAACAAGCTTATATAACCATCAGCCTGTACTAATGAACCAGGCAAACCCATGGGAAGATAGCATTGCTGAAAATACACATGGAAAGAAATCTCAAGGGTTTTATCATAAACACTGGTTAGCACTACGAACCGTTCCATACAAGAAAAAGTATTTCACCATTTTAAAGTCATACTTACTATGGGGGACAAAACTTACTTCTGAGAATTTTACACTAGGATGGATAAAAATGTATTTTAATAAAATGCTTATGGATGAAAAATTCATCTAAAGATAGTTTTCTATTTATGATACATTACAGTCCAAAGGTTATAAGCATTAAATATTGATTAGCTACGCAGCATGAGGCTTTATATTCATGCAATATTTAAATTTTTGGTAAATTACTTGCATTAATTCATGTTAATTGAACTTTTGTCTTTAGAGAGATAACAGGTACTTTTTCACAAAAACAAATACATTTCTGTTCAGAAAAAGATCTTAAATCTCATTATTATGCTAATCACACAATGAACACCTTAGGGTTGATTTTCTTTAAATCATAATATCCTATTAAGGAATAGTACTTTAGGTACCTCTTTTGTTTTTTTAAATGGACCATTTAACTGGCTTAGACGGCATTTGTGCGCTTACTGAGCCGTAGGAGAGGGAATAAAAAAATAAAATAAAAAAAATAAGTGTCCAGGATGGACCAGAGGGGAGATAAATACAAGAAGCGCTAAATGTGTCGACAGCGCTCTGACGACAGAAGTAAATTACACACAGAATTGACATTAGGCAGCAAGTCATGTGTGCCAGGACATGTAACTAGCCCCCGGCACACAAGTGCAAATAATGCTGGATCTGTTTCAAGCTGAAATACTGCAGATTCCTACCACCATGACCACTTCCAAAAGTGGTCATGATGGTTGGAGTAACATTGTTTTTTTAAAATATGAATGATTAAGGTATTAATTGGCGATAGTTCGCCTTTAATTAATAAATTAGATATTTTGAATGGTATATAACCAACAAGTATTATATTTGATGTGTAAAGGATTAGATTTGCTGAAGTGCATTGAATAGACTGTCATATCAATAGAAATCTGCACTTTTATAATTTGGGGCAGAAACACTGTTTTTATCCAGAGCTAACAGAAGTGGCAAGCAGCCCTTCTCAGTAAGTTATACAACTACTCATTGAGAAGCATTGGAAAGCTATTGTGTTGGGGGGCTTGTGGCTCTGGCCCAGACTGAACTCAGCTTTTGCAAGCTGTTTAATCATATAACTAGAAAAAAAACAGCATGTATGTGTTCTTTGCCAGTATACATGTCAATTTATTTAAAAATAAAAATTGAATAAAATCATGAATTTTAGTTCATCTTGCCAACTAGTGATTTACAATAAATTAACCCTGTTTTAGATCAAATGTTGTAAGGATAAGGAAGATTCTCTTTTTACCAGTAAATATTTCTACAAAAAGGATGAAGAAATGAAAACCTAAAATGGAGTAAATTAGTTTTTGGGATATTTTTACATAATCTATACAGGATATTACTGCTTGCCAGTGTTTTTTTTTTTTTTTTAAGACAATAAATTGGCCTTGTAGAGTTTAATAGAGCTTAGGGGGAGGGTACCTGCGAGGGCATGCAGAAACTTTATCCAACCCGATCGGGTAACAGAGAAAACTAGGAAGGAGAGCATCTCACTGCATATACATATACACCATGGAGACAAACTAAAACATTTTTTGCAGTCTTACATTCATAAGATGCGTTAAAGTTTCTGTTTAGTAAGAATTTTCTTTCTAGTAAATCTTTGTAATATTTTAGACATTTAACCATGCAGATGTAACATATTGCTGTTCATATTGTTGCACTATGAACTAGAACTAGAATAATTTTATCACACCAATCAAATGCAGACTATTCAATTCTGCACCATCAATTTAAATTATGTCTATCTTGGGTGGCACCAATTGGCTTAGAGGGCATGTCTGACTCACTACAGCAATCTCAGCAAATGAGAAATGCAGCAGCAGAGGGGGCTGTCAAGAAAAGCCAGATCTTATGTCAAACCACTCAAATATCTTGAAAATAATGGGTGACTCAAATGAATAAATAATTGCAAAATACCCATTATCCACAATATTCATTAATGTTATTTGATTTTCTTTTTTTTTACTAAAAACAGTCTCACCCATTTTATCTGGGTGGGACTGAGAAATGTACAAATCTGCTATGGTTTAATGTGATGTAGGGTTGAGCCCTGAAATTGGGGAGGTTGTGGGAATACTTTATGTTAATATCTCATACCTCTTTACCCATTCCTTATTTTACCAACTATTACACCAACAAAGCTCCTGCATTTTGCAATATTGCATGAGAGATAGGAAAAAACTATTAATATTTAATACAAATGTACTTTCAACCCGACAAGTACAACACCATTTTATATGATATCTTATCTTAAACTTGAGTCAAGGGTCAAAAAAAAAAGCAGTTATAAAACTGCATTAATGGCAAACATCTATGACCCTGAGTACCCAAACTTCAACAGAAAACCAACTTATTCATCTCGAAATGCATACACTGAATTTAAACATGAAAACAGAATGGTTTTGTTTTTAGCCCATGTGGCTATCTGAGCATCCCTCCCATGCCCATATGGCTATCTAGTCATCAATCCCATTGTCTTACGCCCATATGGCTATCTGACCATAACGCCCTGCCATGCCCATTCTTCAATCTGTCAATAGCTCCTGCCCATGTCTGTAATCTTTACTGGAGATTCCCCTCCCTCCAAACGCCCATAATCTTATATCTGCATCCCCAAATCCCATGCCCATTCTCTCCCCTCCATGTCCTTTATCTCTCCCATACCTTTTCTCCTCTCTCCATATCCCAATTCACACCTTCTTGCTTGTCCCAATGCAATTTCATGAGGGGGCAGGATATAACATTACTCACTGATTGGCTGTGGACGGGTTTATTCATATTGTGACTCAAAAATAGCCGCACCTGAGATGCATAGATGTAGTTGTACACACCAGGAGCCTATCTGCACCCATTGGCACATCAGTCCCTCTCCCAATGCATATGTTTCTCACTGGACCTTGTGGGCTAATGGTCTGGTTGGTAAATTAAGTGGGTAGCCTTTCTGCTCAGAAATCTTTGCCGACTAGGCGCCCCTGCTACATGCGCAAAAGACAGGTAACTACAGAGAGTTAAGAGCACTAAACACTGCTATCCTCCAGCCTGAGACACCGGACTAAGTTCAGGGGGAGCTGCTACAGTGCAGCTGCTTTCATGAACCAGGACAGCTACAGCCCATCACACTCTTGTCTCGTCATGCTGTGCATCAGGAGACAATGTAGTGATCTTATGGCTCATGTGTCAGAGGCCACTGGTCTTCAGAGTTTAATCAATCATTCTGTTACAAGTGAACAGTACTGGTACGAAAACATTCAAAAAAATGTGTTGCATACAATAAAACAGATAAACAAAAGCCATTTGCCCCATTATCAGAAGACACCAACATAGAATGTCACAACCAAAGAAAAAAATAAATAAATCAAGATTTTGCAAACATTATCTCCACAAAACCAGTACCAAAGTAGAAGTTTGTTTGGCAAGAAAATGGAAGACATGTGATATAGAAAATAGGGTGTGACAATCACGTTGAGCAGGTTCTTCAATGGCAAGAATCAATATGGTTATCCGAGGGCTTGGCTCCCAGCTCAGTGCTGTAAACGGATTCTATAAGAATCAGGACAGGCAGGAACTGCTTTAAGCTGGTTCTACATGGATCAGGACAAGTAGCTTTAAGCTTGTTCTATATGAAATCAAGGGAAGTGCTTGTTCTATATGTATCAGGACAGGTAGCTGTCCGTGTAAGGATGTGAGCTTAATCTCTGAAGCACCATGAGACACCTGTCCAATATATCAACATAAATTCAGCAATGTATGTTGAAACATACCTCATCACCTACTGGGGGAATGAGGTTGCACATGCATATACACACACACTGATCAGCTATAACATTAAAATGACTGACAGTGAATACCATTGATTATATAATTACAATGGCGTCTGTCAAAGGGGGAAGATATATTAGGCAGCAAGTAAATAGTCAATTCTTTTATTTCATGTGTTGGAAGCAGGAAAAAAATGGAAACACAAAAAGATCAGAGTGCCTTTGACAAGGCCCAAAAGGTGATGGTCAGAGCATCCCCAAAATGGCAAGTCTTGCTGAGTGTTCCTGGTAAGCTTTGATTGATTATCAAAAGTGGTGCAAGGAAGGACAACCAGTGAACCGGTGTCAGGATCATGGGAGCTCATTGATGCTCATAGGGAGCAAAGGCTTGCCTGCCTGGTCCAATCACACAGAACAGCTACTATAGCTCAAATTGCTGAAAAACCCCCCCCAAAAAAAACCAATGCTGACCACGATAGAAAGGTGATACAACACACAGTGCATCACAGTTTGCTGCATGAGGGGCCGAGTACCCGAAGACCGGTCAGAGTGCATATCACGACTACCGTCTCCCTATGAAAGCGCTTTTAATGGAGACACGAGTATCATAACCGGACCGTGGTGCAATGGAAGAAGGCTGCTTGGTCTGATGAATCACATTTTCTTTTAGATCAGGTGGAAGGTCAGGTGCATGTGTGTTATTTACCTGGAGAAGGCATGGCAGCAGGACACACAATGCAGAAAGACAAAGGCAGTAGCTCTGGTCAGTGTTCTGCTGGGAAACATTGTGTCCTGGTATTCATGTGGATATTACGTTGACATGTACTACCTACCTAGAGATTGTTGCAAACCATGTACACCCCTTCATGGCAGTGGCCTCTTTCAGCAGGATAATGCACCCTATGACAGTGCAATAATTGTCATGTTCCTCAAACCATTCCTGAACAAAGAGTTGAGGGTGTTTCATTGTCCTCTAAGATGACTGAGCATCTATGGGCTGTGTTGGAACAACAAATCCAAGGCATGGGTTGGGTGGTCTCGGTGCACTGTACCTTTTGCACTTAGTGCTGCAATGTAAAACATTGCAGTTCAAGAGAAACTAAGTCTGCCCCCAGTGGCTGTCTACCAAACAACCACTAGAGGGCTACCTGGGTTAAAATGGACCTTTGTTCCGGTATCAAGACGCTGGACGTCCTCAAGATCTGCATGGGGACATCCAGCGTCAGATGTTTGCCCATAGAAAAGAAATGATTCAATGCTTTCCTTTAGGGAGGTCTAATGCGCACGCAACATTTGCCGTGCATGCGCATTAGAGCCTGCTTGTTGCGGGGAAGTTTTAAACCTTTACTTACCAGGGAGCATGGGTAGGGGGGTCGATAGTGCCAGGAATACAGCTTTGTATTCCTGGAACTATAGTATCCGTCAGGCTTCTCCAAACGCCGGCCCTCCAGATGTTGCTGAACTACAACTCCCATGATAATATGAATGAAATAGATATGCTGAGAATCATGGGAGTTGTAGTTCAGCAACATCTGGAGGGCCAGAGTTTGGGGAAGCCTGCAAAAGAATCTGCTGCTAATGTCTTGGTGCCACATAACACAAGACAAGTTCAGAGGTCTTGTAAAGTGCGTGTCTCAAAGTATCAATTCTGTCTTGCCAGTATGAGGGGCACGTACACAGTTTTAGTTAGGTAGTTTTAATGTTGTGGCTGATCAGTGTTTATGTGCGTGTAATATAGAGATATATAATTTTTATTTAATTTAAACAACATCAGTTACATAATCCTATTTAACCTCTAAACTCTAGAAATTGAAACAATGTATGAAAGTCTGAGTTGCTCCTTCGGTCCCTAGCAACATTACTATTCAATAAACAAAGCCAAGTGGGTGGATTCAGTAAGTAACAACCTAGTCTGCAAACACAAGTAGAAACCACATTGAAAGGACGGCGAGATGGAAATAAAGCATTGATGCACTAATCACACTGCTCAGAAATGTCACAGCACAAGAGCCACCTTAAAATTGCATTATACATTTAAAGAAAGTAATTTTATACTAAAAATATATTCTCTGCAAACACAAAACTAACCCTGAACTCAATCTCCCACTACTCTTGGGCAGCAGCAAAGGCTATAGTATTCTTCAGTTTAAATACACAGAAGACCTCCCCTTCCCAACAAAATTTAAAGGAACATTATAGTTTCAGAAATAAAAACATGTGTTCCTGATACTACTCCCCTTTTTCCCACCACGCTACACTGGTCTCCTCACAGCTGTCCCTGCCTGGTCCAGAGTCTGTGGCGGAGATCATTCGTTTCATTTATCTCAGCTAATCCAATGCAAAGGACATTGCACATGTGCGGATATTGGAAATGCTGCACTGTGCCAATCCGCATCTGCACGTAGAGATGCATAAAATTCCCCTGTAGAGATGCATCTCTACAGGGGAATGTTCAGTGCCCCAATGCAAGGCTTGAAGACACTCAATGTCAGTGTTGCACACTGTGCAGCACTGACCCAGGAAACACTTCTAGTGACTGCCATTAGAGGTGTTACTGTTACTAGGCGGCAATATAAAGATGGCCTTTTCTCTGATCCACACATATTGGTGCCTAAGATGTTAGGATTGTATGGGCGAATAAGGCCATGAGCTAGTTTTGTGGATGCCCCTCCTCCCCACCACCTCTATATTTTATTTTGTCTGATGCTCTGTATTACCAATGGATGTGTTTATTTGTACTGAATCAATGCATCTCTATGAAGAAAGTTCAGCATATCCATGCAGAGTGTGGAGACTCTGAAAGTCAGTGCTGCACACCCAGGAATCACCTCTAGTGGCCATCTGAGTGACTGCCTATGTAGGTGTCTCTAGGCTGCAAGGTAAACATCATCTGTTTTATGAAAAGACAGTGTTTACATTAAAAAGCAAGCAGGGACAGGCGATACACACCAGAACAACTACATTAAGCTTTAGTAGTTCTGGTGACTATAGTGTCCCTTTCAAGGGATACTATAGTGACAGGAATACAGAGCTGTATTCCTGGAACTATCACTTCCCCCGTCACCCCCCCAGTAAATAAAGGGTTAAAACTCCTTTATTTACTTACCTAATCCCATCGCTGACACCCCTTGGCGCTGGATTGAAGACCACCCCCTCCGATGTAAACATTGCTGTTTCTCTGGAACTGCAATGTTTAACATTTCAGCACTAAGTGCAAAAGGGACAAAGCACCCATACCACTTCAATGAGCTGAAGTGGTCTGGGTGCTTACAGTGTCCCTTTAAGGAAAAATAAATTATTCAAACTTATTTTTTTGCATAATTTAAAAACTATGGAGAATTTAAAGAAAGAAAAATAAAGGATATTCATTTAAAAATAGAACCTGCAAATTGACAGATGCACACCAAAGATAGAAATTGTATCACATGTTGTATTATTCTTTCTACTAGGTAAATCTTCAACCAAGAAAATTAGTACCCAAGTGAACATGTACACTGTAATTAATAACAGGTCTGTTGGCCAGGCACAATACATCACACAAGGGCAGCCGAAAGAGAATCATGAACATTTGTCCTTGAACATTTCTCTAAATCATTTCTATCCAGGGGAAGGGTTACAAACCAAAAGAAAATCTGATATTCTATTTAACCCTGCAATAGGACAAAGCCTTACACCTCAATAAAACAAGCAAGGCTTTTTTTCACGATAATGTGCAGGCCATTCTAAAAGTCAAGGTGACTTAACAAAATCTAAAGTTTATATTGTAAACTTAAAATAGGCAATTTTACTGAATATTGCTATGTAAATTAGCCCCATTAAATTTAAATAGGTGAATGAAGAAAAATGTCAACTTTAAAGAAGCAATTATATTGTATGTATACATTCTGCAGGCAAAGTTTGTAGGAAATACAAGAGTTGAAAGGATAGTGTCTGTAAAGGTGGTTAAGAGCATACTTACTGGCTATATATACTACTGTAAGTTATATGTCAATAGCACATAAACTGCAATTTATTTTTTTAAATCAATCTTTAAAGTGTTGGTGATGCATTCATTCCATTTGTGTAATTTTACTTGACAGGTTCACTTTTCAATGGCTGGAACAGTGTTGGCATGTCATATCCATCAGTCAAAATAAAACTAAAGTGATTTTTGGACAAGGGGTAACTTTTTAGAAATAAATAAATAAATCTACATTCAGTTAAGCAGGGTGAATTAATGTACACAGCACTGAGAATTAACAGTTTATGACAGTCCATTTTCAGTATCAGCTGTGTTGCCAAGTGAAACATTACAACAGAGGCAAAAAGAAAAAAAGGTGAGGATGGTTAAACTTGATGGACTTGTGTTTTTTTTTTTTAGTCTTGATTACTGTAATAGTGCTCATTCAGATTGACCAGAAGCAAATCTTTACTGGTGTAAAAGAATAACAACACAAGTGAAATAGGATTTTCTGAAATAGAAACATGGATTCAAGCTAAATATGCAGATTAATAATCTAGTCTAGTGGAATCTAAGAGGAGTGGGTAGGCAACACAAGGCCAAGTTAGTCAATAGGATTTAATTTCGATAGAATATATCTGAGCCCGAGAACATTAAATAATTAACCATTATTAAGTATATTTATCAATTTCTCCATATACCAATAGTGCAGTGACTATCACACAATCAATACCATGTAACTGGAAGTCTAGCTTGGCCACTCATTTTAATTGTGACCTTTCCTGGAAGGGCACAAGATAAAGTCTGCAGACCTGGTGTCTTTTCCAGTTAAGTAATCTACATGGAGTTATATAACAGCACAATTACTGGTGGGTCTGTGCACATTATTTTATTTATAAAATATTTTACCAGGAAAGATACATTGAGATTTCACTCGTTTTTAAGTATGTCCTGGGTCCACAAAACAAGGAACTAGAATTAACCCCAAGAGAGCCATCACACCCCTGCAGAGAGGAGGGGAACCATGGACTGACCCCAGGATAGCCATCACACCCCTGCAGAGAGGAGGGGAACCATGGACTGACCCCAGGATAGCCATCACACCCCGCAGAGAGGAGGGGAACCATGCACTGACCCCAGGATAGCCATCACACCCCCGCAGAGAGGAGGGGAACCATACACTGACCCCAGGAGCTGGCACTCCTTTCCTATCCAGGTATGACAGCTATATCTATGTCCTACCCAGCCCCTACAGCCCTGTGGACACTCCCTGTAATGTGATCGGGGAGCCGCAGTCAGGACACAGGGAAGCCGAGCTAGAGCCATGTGGGGGAATGGATACAGCGATATCTGCCCCGGGCTGGGGCGGTGTGAGCCATTGAATGAGGCCCTGCCCCCCCCCCGGAGTGCCCTGGTCACTATGTCCCGGTCACGGCTCACCTTGGCTCCGATGATGCGGGCGCACAAGCGGCTGGCTGTGATAAGAGACATGGCCGGGCGGTGTGCGGTCAGTCCGGTTCGAGGGAGGAGGAGGAGCGACTTGTACTTGGAGCCGGCAAGGAGGGAGCCTGAAAGGCCGGAGCCGGGACAAGGTTGAAAAGGAGGACTCGGGCCCCTCCCCCTGCGCAGTGACGTCACTACGCGCGCACGCGGCCGCCATCTTTAGAGAGGCAGAAAGCAATATGCGCTTCACTCCATGAAGGAGAACGGGGGTAGCTCCCCTCGTAAGATGTCCGCCGCGCTCCCACGCACTGCCAGTGGGAGGGGCCTGTGCTCGGCGTCCATTTTATGAACACACGTCACGAGCAGCCCGAGAAGGATTGTGGGTAAATTGCTCCCAGTCTAGAATCATCATTAACTGGTTCATGGCAGGGGGCGGTCTCGCTGGGCTCCGTATCAGCCATAAGGCGGTTAAACCTCACATCAGTTATAAGGCCGTGCCTGTGCGGCAGGTCAGCTGGTCTAGAGGAAGCGCTTTACGGCGCTTGGTAAGGCGGGAAAATTGTGTTCCCATGGTGACATGTTCACCGCCATTCCAATGATGGTCTATTCACCCAGCAGGGCACTCAGTCAGAGCTGGCTCATTTTCACTTACATTTTGTAATTCCACTCAGGTTTCAGGGGGTTTTCACTGGACAGTAACCTTTCTGTAACTCAAAGCGAATTTCACATGTTAGGACAAAACCTATATGAAACATTCTTCCCAGCCAAGTGCTCAGAGAATGTAATAACATTGGGAATTAAAGGGGCGGTAAGCAATACTGTCACTGCCTCTAACAGGAATGCTATAGTGTCAGGAATACAAACATATAACTATGGGTCCTACATAACCCCATACACAGGGTTATTTGCTGAAGTGGAAATGCAATGTGAATTTCAAATAGAAGTTCTAAGTAGCTATACTGAAAGCCTGGCTGTCTTAGAGAACTTAGCGCTGCTGAAGTGCAGTAAAAAAAATGTCAAATGGAAAAAAAATAAACAATTAAAACTATTTGCAATGGAGTGTTTCTTTAAAAAAAAAAAGAAAAGAAAAACCTGGTTAGAAGAAGAATAGCACAATAAAGAAACAAGGAGTTTCCAAAAAGCACTCCTGTCCACAATATTACCTTACTGGCCCTGTTCTTCATTGGGAGCCAGTATTAATGGGATTGTAACTTTTCCCAAAGTTTTCCTGTGTGGAGACGTTAGTCTTAAATGTGTGTTTCGCTTGTCTATTTATGATGTGCTGTATAGATTGTTGTTTTTAAGATTCTTGACCAGTTCATCATGTTTGTTCTTTTTTTATATCAATAAACCTATACATATTAAAGAATTTATATATTGATGTGGAATCAATCAATTGATTATCTTGCGTATCTGCCCCTGGCCAAATTTAAAAAGATGCGTGCACGCTCCTGAAGTAATTCACACCAGACACAGGTTTTTGGGTTAATGAAAAACTTGAGGAATGTTTATTCTGTGGGGTGACGGCATACCCCTTATAAAGCAAAATTACATCATATGCATTGTCAGAGATAACATGGAATAATACATCAATAATTGGTTATGTGTTACATGGTTCATTTAGTGCCCTTCCTACCGGGTGTGATGTCACAGGTATCCTGGAGGTCTCCCCCAGATTCCAGCGCCATTTTGTTAATGAGGGTGTTAGTCGATGTCAAAGGTAAACTCCCTAGCAGCCATTTTAGTTAAATCACGTATAAAATTGAATAATGCTGATTGTGGTTATGCTGAGTAAATAGGCATTTTATTAATATGAATTGGGTTAATATTTTTGTCCACGACACATATATATATATCAAGTTCCCTAAGATGGCTGTTTTCTAAGATATGCCTAAGATCCATAAAATCCTTAAAATAACCACCTGGTAAACCAATCATAAGCAGGTTTAGAACCTACTTCTGGATATGTAGACTTTATGTTGCTCAGGTTGCATCTTATAGATTATATGATTTAGCCCAGATTGTTAGAGAAATAGAAAATGTTCCCTGGAAACCAAATTATATGTGTCATCATGGATGTGATCTCTTAGGAAGGATTGATATATCAAATATAAACTATAATGAGATAGTGAGATGTTACCATAACATGTTTATTTTATCGCACTTTTTATCCGTTTTTTTGGTTTGAGGGAAAATTGTTTTGTAGCTCTGTGGGATGGCCAATGTAAACAGATTTGCCTAATGCTATGCCAATAATTTTGTGGTAGGTTGACAGTCTAAGACAAGTAGTAGGGATACCTTTTAGTAGTACTGTGCCCCCAAAACAATTTTTAAGTCCCTTGGCGTGTCGGTCCTATTTTGTTTTTTTAAAATGAGGTGTGTATGTTGCTGTATTCTGCATGTGCTATTTATTGGTGCTATGTTTGCTTTGTAGCATTGTATTTGTGCATATGCAGGCTGTTATATTGTATGTGACACCTAGGAATGTGGCGTATGTATGGGGACTGCTCATGTAATTGTGTGTGGATGATATATCACATAATTTGCAAGGGGAAAAAAGGTAAGACTTGGACCAATTCATAGTATATTTGAATGACAATGGCCAGGGTGTAGAGTTTTCTATACATATAGTAGAAAGCATTATTCATTTTCTAGATCTTACAATTTTTAAACAATTAAAATGATAATAAAATACGTAGTTAGAACGTTTTTCAACTAACAACATTAAAAATAAGTTAAAGAGTAGATGTTGTATAGATCTTTTTAGAGAAAAAAAATGTAAGTAGAAAAAGATTGTTAGTGTCGGCCCCCACAATAAAAAATCCCAAGTAGGGAAGTTCAATTGATTGTTTTTGACTGATTACAACAGTAAGATGAACAATACAAAAAAAAACATTACATAAATGTTGGTCCATACTTTTAGAAGATGAGTATTTAAAACTGGTTTTACCAGGGCGGGCCATGCAGCCGAATGGAGTAGACGCCATTTTATACTACCCAACATTCCAAATCTCACAATAATCAACCAAAGTAAGCTACATCGGCCCCCAGCAGTGCTACCTGAGGCTGCCTTTCTTCTGCGGATTGCAAGTTAAATCGACCTGTGGTTTCCTGCGAGACACGCAGAGTTTCTAGACGACTGGGCTCCCTACCCACCCACACCTGACACGGTACATACCTCACCAGCAAGGCCTACCAAGCCTGTCCCGTCAGGCTCAAATATACCCGCAGCAGCACCAAACTTATAACCCTCCACGAAACAAGACATAGCAGACCTCTACGGAAGAATATGCATGCTGTTTAATGCGGACATAGCGCTAGTAAAAGAAGAGGTGCATGCCATCACAGAGAGGGTACGGACCAAAGAGGAGGAGGTGATGGTCCCTCAAGCAGGGCCATGCCACATTGGAGGTGACTGTACAAGCATTGCAGGCCTCGCAGGCTACCGCCAGCCACATGGATGACAGAGGCCGCAGAAAGAACCTTAAAGTCAGAGGGGTCTCGGACGAGATGAGTGCAGAAGAGCTTCCACACATGATCCAACCACTGCTGGCCACAGCACTACCTGCCAAACAGACGAGGTCGATAGTCCTGGATGGGGTGTACCCGATCACGAAGTCGCCAAGAGCGCCCATGTTCCCCCCCAGGGACATTATTGTGCGATTCCAATCCTTTGCTGACAAGCAACAATTCATGCAAGCCCTAAGAGGCAAAACACCTTTGACATTTGAGTCGCACTAATTGACTTTTTACCAGGACCTTACCCGATCTGTCAGGTCCCCTGCGCCACTCGCGGCGCCCTTGCTTACCTCATTACAGCGAGTGGCGTCATCTGGTCCTTGTCTCCAGACTGGCAGTGTGTCTGACGCTGCACACTCCAGAGCAGCTTCCTTATATGTGTGCTGCACCCGGTCATGTGACCTGGCACACAGTGATGACCTCAGAGACCACAAGGGAGGGAAGAAACTCCTCACACGTGTTGTGGTTAACACTAATTGGAGGTTAGCCAATCAGACACACCCTCTGTGTATATAAGCTCACCCCTCCCTTGCCTCAGTGCTCTGTTGTGGTCTTTGGTTTACCATTTAGCGTTGCACTTGTTATTTGGATTTTCTGGTTACTGATATTTGGCTTTGTCTCTCGTTATTCCGTCTCTCTGTTTCTCTTGATCTCTGCTCGTGTTTTGACTATCCCTTTTTAGCATAATCCAACCATTCTAAGGATTGGTATTGCAATTCTCTCTACTCTGTCCTGTCTGCGTGGTAGGGTTCCCTAGTGAACATTACACGACCCACCCTGCAATGGCGCACAGCCATGCGGCCTATAACCTGGAGGCTACAAAAAGCGAATATCCCATACCGGTGGACCACTCCACGGGCCTTAACTGTGCAGGCGGTGGAGAAAACCCACAGGATCACATCACCCGATGAGGCAACTAAGTTCATGACAGCAATCAGCATGTTGAAACCACAGAGCGGGACCCAGAGGCCTTCACATGAACTCCTCTGGGGTGTACCGAACATCAGGCCCTTCAGGACTCAGTGACTTGACTGGCCTAGAGAAACCTATTGCACCCAACGTCCTAGGGCTGGGCCTAGTTCAGTTATGTATTAGTTTAGCTGTTTTATGACGTTTTCTTCATTTTGTAATTAACCACATTCTCCATATGGCTTTACGGCGTCAAAGCCGCTTCTCGAACCCGGGAAAATAGTCTCGCCATATAGGCAGATAAGCGGATGGGAGGTGTAAAAGCATTCTTCTAGGACAACATAAACGTGACATCAGCCTCTCTCCCCTCCTCACCCCCCCTCCCCACAGCTTCTTGGTTAGGGGCGAAAGTATAAGCTAAAAGCTCCACAGGACCAACACAGCCAAACGTTCCCCCACATAGAATGGACGACCACATAGACCACCCTCAGTCACACTTAGCCTAGACCGACCACTCTAGCAATACCAGAAGTCTGACCAGGTGCCTGAGGAATAGACAGACAGTCTGAGCTCCCACAGAAGCGAATCACAATCCACTATCTCTAAATCTAATACACCCAAGAACGACCCAACCAGACGTATATTATATAAAACAAAAAAGTGCTGATCCTTGGACTACCATGTTCCTAAGCTAAGTTGAATGTTTCTCTTATATTAGCCTGACAATACTCTTGTGGTATGTCTGGCATGCCTGTTATATTGTTTCAAAAGCACAATAAAATAAAG